TGTCGGCAATGGCTGTGGCAATGGGCAGCCGCAAATGATGGGCAGTGGTCGGATGGAAGGTAGTAGATTGGTAATATATATGTTATACAAAGTTAAACTAGCATAGACTCAAAAACTCCACTTGTGTTTTTAAAACAGTTTTGAAGAAAAGTATAAACACCATGGTGTTTTTTCAGAAAAACAAAACAAGAAAAGCACAATGCTATCCAAACATAGCCTAATAGCAAACGTAAGTTTTTTTCGTTGCTCACAAATCAGAATATGTAAAGCCCAATTTTTGTTCCTCCCTTTCTCTATTCCATCCGTTACGAAATTCCTCCGGCAACGTAGTCCCACTCTCGCTAGCTCATCAATTGTCGGTTATCAAATGGCAACAATGATTATTATCGTCATCAAGAGGCTTATTAATATCCTCATCATCTACAACGGAAGTGAACAAATTGAGCAAAGTTTTTATAAGAGATTAGTTTCTAGATTATCTTGATCAATTTATAAATTTTGATTTGATTTTGATTTTGATTTTAGTAATTGGTTCGATTTATAAATTTCTCAAAGTGGATTACCTGGTTTTTCCTTGCGAAGGCACGAGCTTCACGTGTGGGGTTAGGAAGTACGCGGAGGACCTCGGAAGGGTGCTGCCGCAGCTGAGGATAATTTCTAGTATGTGTTGATCAATTTATAAATTTTGATTTTGATTTTGATTTTCTGGTATGTCTTGATCAATTTATAAATTTTGATTTTGATTTTCTTAAAATGTATAGAGTTTAGGGGATGCGGGATCTGAAAATATCTTGTAGTGTTGGAGATTTTCACTTGCTTCTTGCACTCTAGATATTGTAATTAACTTGTATATGAGAAATGTGATTTTTCATCAACTCGTGAACGTAGAAAAACTAACAGTTTATTATACTGTTTAATGCTTGAAGAATATTACAGTAGGCTTTGTTTATGATCTCTTTATTTCTTAAGGAGAGAGACAAGTTTTTTTTAATTTTTTGTACTGAACTGGATGAGAATGAAATAGTTTCATGCGGTGAATGTTCCTACTTTTTGCTGTCAGAAAACACGATTTTTCGCCTCCAATGTTGTTTTCGCCTCCAATGTTGTTTTAAAAACTATTGTTTTTAAAATAGTTTTGAAGAAAAGTATAAACACCATGGTGTTTTTTCAGAAAAACAAAACAAGAAAAGCACAATGGTATACAAACATAGCCTTAACAAACGTAATTTTTTTTCGTTGCTCACAAATCAGAATATGTAAAGCCCTAAATCTTTGTTCCTTCCCTTCTCCGTTCCATCCGTTATGAAATTTCTCCGGCAACGCATTCCCACTCTCTCTAGCTCATCAATTGTCGGTTATCAAATGACAACGATGATTATTATCGTCATCAAGAGGCTTATTAATATCCTCATCGTCCACAACAGAAGTGAACAAATTGAGCAAGGTTTTTATAAGAGATTAATTTCTGGTTTGTCTTGATCAATTTATAATTTTTTATTTGATTTTGATTTTGATTTTAGTAATTGGTTCGATTTATAAATTTCTCAAAGTGGATTACCTTGTTTTTCTTGGCGAAGGCACGAGCTTCACGCGCAGGGTTAGGAAGTACGCGGAGGACCTCGGAAGGGTGATGTCGCAGCTGAGGATAATTTCTGGTATGTGTTGATCAATTTATAAATTTTGATTTTGATTTTGATTTTCTGGTATATCTTGATCAATTTATAAATTTTGATTTTGATTTTCTTAAAATGTATAGAGTTTAGGGGATGCAGGATCTGAAAATATCTTGTAGTGTTGGAGATTTTCACTTGCTTCTTGCACTCTAGATATTGTAATTAACTTGTATATGAGAAATGTGATTTTTCATCAACTCATGAACGTAGAAAAACTAACAGTTTATTATACTGTTTAATGCTTGAAGAATATTACAGTAGGCTTTGTTTATGATCTCTTTATTTCTTAAGGAGAGAGACAAGTTTTTTTTTAATTTTTTGTACTGAACTGGATGAGAATGAAATAGTTTCATGCGGTGAATGTTCCTACTTTTTGCTGTCAGAAAACACGATTTTTCGCGTCCAATGTTGTTTTTGTATTATACGGTAGGATATATTTTAAATTATGTAGAAAAAGCTAGAATAGAGAAACTTAGGATAGTGATGCTTTAAGAAGAGAAATGGATGAAGTATTATTAGGACTAATAGAAGAGGCTGGAAAGCGCTAACTTAGAATTTTTCATTTCTTTTTGATAGATGTGTTTTTGTTTGTGAATTGAATTTGTTTTTTTAGGGGATTTTGTGAGAGAGGGAGAAGCTTGGGGAATTGTGTAATTCTTTACTTTGGAAATTCCTCTTTATTTTTTTTACTTTTTCCCCCCTTCCCTCTGCTAATAATATTAGTTTCAAAATTATTGCTTTAGCGTGTTAGCATAGAAGATTTAATGTTGGGAGAATAATGTGCATTTAAATTTGGGTCTTTAGAGTTTGCTTAGTTCATTAATTTGGAGTTTTGAGATCATTTAGCTTAATCTACTTCTTTTTAGCATAGTTTACTTTACTTTTTGATTTCCTGTATTTAGCAAATGGGCATGTTTGGATGCCCATATGCTTTCAGTGTCTCAATTATTTGAATTATGAGTTGTCTTAAGTTGGTACTTATAAGTGATTTAGGTATTAAGGCCACAATTAATCTTCAGAATTAACCTTGACTACTCCATTATTTAAACTTTAATATCCTTAAATATATGTAATATTTGGGGTTTAATTAACACTCTTATTACATTTTGAAGTGTAGCTGCCTCATGTTTATATAATCAAACTTTTGTTTGTTCATTCTTATGCATATATTTGTTGCCTTTTTCGCTTCTTTGTTGGTAGTTGTGATATGATGGCTTTAGTTAATTTGACGTTAGCAAAAACCAATGAATATTCCAACCGTAGTACGACAAAAAGATGTCAATGATTGGGTTATGCTTGTATGTTTGTATGATTTTGGTGGGCTATAGTTGATCTTTGAATATTTGGTTGGATGGCTTTTATGATGCTTTTATTTGTGTATTTTGAATCAAAATTTCAGTTCTAACATAGTCCCTCTTTCTGATCATCAGGTACTCTGATTCTTGATTTTTTTTCCTTTTCCTTAAGGTGGTCAGTACTGTAATGCACTGCTTTGATATTATGCTGATACCAAAAGTTTTGCCTGTCTGTCCATGGTGGACTACTTGCTTGTCAAGTGCACTTACAAAACTTCTTTTTCTCCTTAAGGCGTTAAATATCAATTGACACTTCAATTTCTAACATTTCTCAGAATTTTCCTTTTCTTTATTAAACATTTTTCTTTCCCGTTATGGCATTATTACAGTTATATAGTTGTTTTATTACTTAAAATTGTGGGATATCATAGTTATGTCACAAGTCAAAACCCTAAGTTTTGACTGCGAACTCTGGGATAACTGTCTTTGTTTCTTTGCATTTCATTACACAATCGATTTGAATATATCTTGGAGCTAGCCAAGGGAACCTCTCCCTCTTTCTGTGATTAAAGTAATTACTAGAGTCCTTAATAAAAGATTAACCATGTATTCTATTGATTCCCAATCTTACATCAGTTTCTTTCATGTGATAAACTTTATTGACATCTTTAAGCTTCATGCATGTATGCTCTGCTTCTAAAGTTCTCTTTTTCTTTGTCTTTTCACTTCTGGATTTCAAGCTTTAGCTGTTGAAATTCAGAATATTAATGTGTGCTTCTGCCATGTACGTTCTGCATCTAACCAAGCCACAACACCTCAGAATATTAACATAATAATTGATACTTGATGTTAGCTATCAAACATGAAGCTATGTCCTATTTTTGGCTTCCAAGTATTTTAGGAAATTTCCATTGAAGCATACATTGTCTTCTATAGAACATTCAACATTGATTTGCAAGTTGTAACAACACCAGCTTAATCATCACAATTTTTGTTGACTATTCTGAGGCTGACTATGTGTAAGTGAGTTTAGTGAAACATGCATTGGATAAGATTTTTTGGGGTATTAGGAGGTTTCCTTGGTTTCATATTTCCAAATTGGTATTCAGTTGGGCGAAAAAATATTTGGATGTTGATGCTATATTCTCTATGGGGTTTGCTTCTGATTTCTCCTCTTATTTTAGTTTATCACATTCACTTATGTGGCTTATTACGAGTTCAAGATCTATCTTTTGGTTGTATATTTCTGTTCTAATCAAGGGAATAGGTTTTAGTTTGACGGGTTCGTAGAGCTTCATATGTTAGATTATTAGGTTATATGTTGTCTGCATATGTTAAACTGCGCTGGATATTATAATTTGTAAGACATATCGAACAACTTTCTGCATTAAAACTAACTGTATGATGTACTGATCTTTGTGCAATTACTAATTTTGAACTTCTGCTGACAGTAACTTCATTATTATGATGCATTATGTAATAATATCAGTGACAAATTTGCTTGAAATGGTTCTATCTCTTACAAAGTTATTAGCATTTTACATGTTTTCTCTGCAATTTCTTATTTCTTCTTTTATTGTGCTTTGAGCTATGTTTTAATTAATACAGAACTAGATACTTAACAAGAATAGTACCCATAGAGTATACATGCACACAGTTAATGCATATAGCACTTTTCTGGCAACTTAGTACTGTGCAGGGAAAACTTCCTCGGTAGTCTTGATTCTTGAAGTCTATACTGAACTTAGCACTTTTCAGGATGAATATGAAAGGGCAAATAAAGTGAGAGAGTGGTTCTATCAAAGTGATGCAGATCATCAGGATAAGCTATTAGCTTGCGGGGCCATTAGAGTGGCACATCTTCGCATGAAAGTGTTGGAGGAAACAAAATTCACATGTTCAGCTGGCATTCAGCACAATAAGGTAGCTTGACTAAAATGCGAGTTCTACACCCTTGTTAGCGTTAACCTTTAGTTTCGTAGCTTACAACCTTATACAGAAGACCAAATTACAAAATATTGTCATATTCGTCATTTTGGTTAATAAAAATCAGCAGTTTAGTTTTTATTTTCATTGTTACTTTATTGCTATATCTTTTCTGTCGGGTTTTCTGCTTTTGTCCAACCTCTTACATGTGTTTCTGAATGTGACATATGACAGATGTTAGCAAGACTAGCAAGCACAATGAATAAATCTGCACAGCAAACAGTTGTACCATTTTCATCAGTAAAGAATATGCTACCTACCTTTCCTGTGAAGAAAATGTAATAATACAAGTGTTAATTACCATTATATCATTTAGTGAAAATTACACCTACCAGCCATTCTTTTAAATATTGCGATGCTTCTGACATATTACATTTGGTTGCTATTCAGAAGGATTTGAGGATGTTAAAGGAACTAATTGGGGCTACTCTGGGTTCTGCCAGACTGTGGTGGATAGCAAGTGGTAAGGTGGAAGACAGGATTATTTTTGGTGGGAGTGTTTTTTCTATTACTTATTAGTAATGAATTGTAGTTTGACAGTGTGCTCTATGTTTAAGCCATTTGCTCCTATTGCATAATAATTTGAGGAGGTTTTTTTATACTTATATTTTATTTTATTTTATTTGTTTCAATAGATTATTTTCTGTGAACTATTGTTTGTGTTTTTTCTAGAAGATTATCTTCTGTATTAGTTTTCTTAATTGAATATTTTTCGTAGGATTTTGCTCTTGTTTTGATGGACTTGTTCGTATTTCTGATTTTTTTAGTTGTAATTTCTTGCTGCTAAGGTTTTGAGGAGATTGAGGGTTTCAATTGAAGGACACTGCTGATTTCTTCATCATTCCCTGCTCATCCAGCTTAGTCTATATTCCTATTGATTTGAGAGGTAATTCAATGTTGTCATGTTCTTTTGTTACTGTCATTATTCTATCCTCAAGAAGCAGAAATGTTCTCTAAGGGTGGAATAGTTGAATAATGAACTTCAATGTTTCTTTTTGGTGTAGCTCCAATACAAACACCGGTCGTGCTCGCAAAGACAACAAGGACATAAAAAGTACCAATAAAAAATAAGCCACCAGAGGAATACAAAAATGTTAATCTGGAATCTTAATAGATATTGGTGATCTTTGCATATGACCAATGATTTAAGGTGATCTCCCTTATGCTAAGAATCATTCATCATACAATAATTACTTCTATTAACCGGCAATCATGCTAATTATTGCTGTCAATTATGTACAACATACAATTTGATAAAACAGCTCCTTCATCTCCATGCATACGATAAAAGAGTGCGTTAAAGTAGAATAAAAATTTAAGATTTTGATAAAAGAGTGCGTTAAAGTAGAATAAAAATTTAAGATTTTGTTAACATCTTACAGTACATAGTCCACGTCATTTCGTCGAGGACCCGATCGATAAGCGTAATGAACAACCAGCAATCATTCCACAAAAAACGTGAAACATCCAGCTGATGTTGGATTGATGCGATCTTTGATTGATCAATCACATTCTAGATACAACCACTATACTATCGCATAATTGACCCCTAAATATAAATTAATTGTTCAAACCTTGTGAATTTTAAGCTTCTGTTCATATCTTGGCTAAATTGCTTACATTTAATAAATTTATACTAAATCTTTTCCTAAATAAAATTATATTTTAAATAAATATTACAAAATTTTACCACGTTCATTGCACGTGCAATCCAACTAGTAAAGGATAAACATAACAGTACTTTCCAGCTAACATTGCATGATTTAACAACTCCACTAACTTTTATCATATAAGCAAAAATAGCACAACTTCAATCCAATCCAAACGAAAACAAACAATAACTGTATAAATGGACTACTTACCGGACCGAACACTGTAAATAAGCAAGCAATTATATCAAATCTTGATCACAAGAATTGAACAAACCCCAATTATAACACATGCTCAACAACAATCAGAGAGAACGATAATGAAAGGACAGACTGACAAGTGACAACTCAAGTATATGGAAATAACAAGAGTTTTTTCTATAGAAGTATTGGGCAGATCAAGGGGATCCCTTGAATTTCCTTGCAATGCTAGCAAAGTACTGGCCCTGATGGAAAGCTTGCTGCAGCTCGAGCTCGCTCGGGTTTCTTGAGCCATCTCCTGCGTAAGTTCCAGCACCGTAGGGGCTGCCTCCCTTCACCTGATCCATCTCAAACATTCCAGCGCCAAAAGTGTAGCCAATAGGCACAAAGATCATTCCATGGTGGGCCAGTTGAGTTATGGCGGTTAGACTGCAGGAAAATGGAGGATTTCATAAGCGTTTCAGAGCATAATTATAGATCATCTGGCATCGATTAAGATATTAAGTGATGTTGATTGTTTTCTGCATAATTGTAAGCATGAACGTAAAGGGTTTGGGATGTAATATGAGTTGGTCTGCAAAGAGTGGCCGATAAGAAAACATTGAGGATTTGGTGTTGTGGAAGGGAACTTTGACATGAAACTAAAGAAAAACCAGTTCAATGCCGACCGGCATGAATTTAAAGTGGATTTAAGAAAAATAGATATTTCAGCCTATGAAAAGGGCTCAACCTGCGGAACATAGTAGCATATAAAATTATTACGATAACCTGTCACAAGTTTGGAGTTTTGGTGCAACGGAAGAAACTTTTGTCAAACGAGAAGCTTTGTATTAAATGAACTTGTAAGTGCTGCTTACAAGTCAGTGATACAGACTTTATTGGTTATAAAATATAGATGAACTTGATAACGTCTGCTGACCATAATTAGGAAATCAAGTAAGGTTTATAGTTTCTGGTGGATGACACGTGGCCTTGGGGAAAAAAGAGAGTAAGGTTTGTAGTTGGCTAATAGAAAAATAGTTAAATAAACCTGCTACTGAGTTCTTGCTAAGTGGCAAAGGGATCAGGTAGGGCTATGGAAAGCTAGATGTTCAAGTCTGGGATAAAAAATACCAGCGTAAATTGCTTGAGATAAGGGTCAAACTACTAAACATCAGAGGTAATTAGGATAACAACATTTCCATATTTCTAGAATCAATTTAGTAGGTGGAGTCAATAACCTCAGCTGATGACAAACATGCAGCATCTAATTAAACACTAAAGTTACAAAAGGATATACAGATAATTGATGTGGATGTGATGGAAGTGCTTACGCAGTAGTCTCCTGCCCACCGCCCTGAGATCCGGTGCTGAAAAAGATTCCAGCAGGCTTGCCTGCAAGCTGCTGGCTTCTCCAGAGCCCCCCAGTTGCATCTAGAAAAGCTTTGAATTGTGCTGCCATCATTCCGAATCTAGTTGGGAAACCAAAGATTAGCCCGTCAGCTTCAGCAAGTTCACTTGGTGTGATGATTGGCACTTCGCTCTTGGGTGGTGCACTCATTTTTCCAAGGACCTCCTCAGGGAGGGTCTCAGGTACCTGTTTCCGTAAGGGTACATAATTGTAAGGATTGCCATAATGAGATGAGAAGATAGTTGCAGTCTGTTTATTTTTTGCCCTCAAAACAGGATTAAAAACACAAATTGCGTTACCTCAAGCTGAGTACAGCATATTGATATAATAACCCAAATTTAGGGATTTATACACGGGACGAGTGAAATTGAGGTGTTACAATCGAGTGTGAGTAACATCTCTACAGCTCTTTGAATTGATATCATGGTAATACCACTAAAGTTTGAAGCCTAGGTGCGTCTATGAAACATGTATAGATTGTCTTGTTACGATTGTCCGAACTGACAGCACAGGGAAAGGATACTGAAAAATCCCCATTGTTTAGATAATAAATTCTATATAAATGAAAACACTAACAATTCTAGAAACACAAGTTAACGGATGAAACGACCAGAAAAGGCATCATTCTTTCCTTAATGGGTTACTCGAAAAGATGCCTTCACTTTGCAGCTCCTGTCATGGACAAAGGGTTCTCCTTTACACGACACTGAAAGTTGCTAAATGAAAGGAAACAGGTGTCTTTCACTAGAAAAGTGGTGATTATTTTATTCTAGAACAAACATCTATATTCTAACAAACCCACCCACCCAATCAATAATTGCGTACCGCACCTAATCATTCATGATTGAAGTGTTAATTTTTTTAACCATAAGATATTGAGAGCAGGAGGCTAATTCTGTAAGTGTATTTGTCCTGGCCCAAGTTTTGTCTCTACAAGCACAAGATATTGGGAGCCATATTGGAACCTCCCAACCATCCGGACTACCGTGATTCCCTCTACATGCACAATTTTACTATAGGAACATGTGTTACATATCAAACACACGACTGTGGTATACTTTACTCCTTTCAGTTGAGATATGGTTATGATTCAGTCAACACATACCTGCCATAGCTTGGCTTCCACTCCTTCAACCGATGATGCACCTTTTTTAATCTCCTCTGCTAGCTTCTCAACATGTCCATACATTGAGTAATACCTATATAATAGTTACACAAGTCTTGTCAAAATAGAAATTACATTTTCCTATTCAAACTACGAAACAGTGGGGTATCTTTTAAGGTTTTACAATCTGGCATAAACACTAAACTAAGAAGACACCTACAATATTCTGACGCATCATAAATTTATATTATCTAATTATATTCCGAAGTAACATAATATGAATCATAGAGTCAATGTTATTAATGAGAAAAATGAAATAATATGCAAATACAAAAGATGAAATATGTAATTTTATTAGTATACTAGATCAGGATATACAATCTAGGAATGGGGCAACAAACCATCAATATCCAATAACATTGTAAATAACGTCTACATCACTGTTATTGATTTGAGTGTTAGAATCTTTTTCCCTCACTTCAAAATGCTACAATCATAATCCATACAAAGTATATAACTAAATTTGGATAAGCTGAAAATAGTACAAACTTTCCATTCTTGTACATAACATGTCCTAGGTGGCCCTGTCAGTGTGGCAGGCTAATTTATGTGGCTAACACCATTCGCTGTGTTATTATTTCTATACTAGACACAGTAAACCCAGGTCTCTACAATTGACTTTGTAAGCAATGAGTTCAGACATAGGAGCCAAAAGCCAAAATCCAGTTAATATTTTTCAATGGAAAAAAATCAACAGTGATCCTTAACTAATAAGCAACAGGTGAAAAGTTTAAGGAATACATGCAACAGAAAGAACATAGAACTCCTTAAATACTTTTATTAGTTATATCCTATGTTACCTAGGTACTTCTAATCTGAAGCCATACACGTACCCGACACGTACACGTACACGTACCCCAACTCCTTGGACATTCCATGCATATACATTTATTCGGGCATGTACTCAATTATAGAATATATGTTTTAATTTAAAATTCTTGTCATACATTTTTTGACATATATCCTACACTTTACATCCACTTCTTAAAACTCGTAAGGCATAGGTAAGATTCCAAATTATGATTTTGAATGGTCATTCAGATGTCCAGTTCAAAAAATAGTGATTTTCAATTTATAATCCACATAATAAAAGAAACATAAAAATGTTATATTCTTGTTCTCATATAAATTATTATCCAATATAAAATATGTGTATATATATATTTACATAACCGTTTTCCCGCACCCGTACCCATGCAACATAGGTTATATCTATCACAAAAGCCAAAATGTTAGTTCAGAATAACAAGGAAAAAATATCAATAGTAGGCAAAAAATATCCAATATATAATATGTGTATATAAATATTTATATAACCATGTTCCCATACTCTACCTTTCACAAATTTGACATGTCCCGTACCCATACCCATACCCATACCCAAATCTATACCCATGAAACATAAATTATATCTATCACAAAAGCCAAATTGTTAGTTCAGAATAAAAAGGAAAAAATATATATCAATAGGCACAATTAAGATTCTTTGTCAATGCATATTAACTTAATCAGCAAGCAGCATAGTAATTGTAAATCCTACAATGAGCCAAAGACACATCATTTTATTGCCCCACATAAAAATGAAAAAGGGAACAAACTAAAGGTAATCTAGAAAAATATCTAAGAAAGGCAATTCTAGAAGGGAGATAAGGATCAGATGCTACCATTAAGTCAAAGACAATCTAGAAGGTCCGTAATAGTACATGCACACCTAACATGATGATGGGGACCGTGGGACAGTCACCAGCAAACACGAAAAACCCAAACGAGAAAGGTACACAAAGGGCTCGATTTCTCCTCTCTTTTATCTATGACAATACATTATCACTTTACAGCCCATGGAATAAAAAATCCAGCTCACAGAAAGCTACTATTCAAACTACTAAAATCACAAGTTTTTAAGTCATCCCTGATTAATGATAAATAGTCCTACAATTAACAATGCCTCAATTTGCTGTATTTTTCCTTTGTATTCAGTTAGAACCAAGAACAAGTTTCATTCACGCATCGGATGACATAAACCTAACTCGATGCGTAAATTTTGATCTTTCTTTGGTTTTGATTAACAGTAGAACCATAAGGTGGGTGATTCAATGATTCCCATGATAAGGAAGACCTTCGATAAGTTGTAATTTACCATTAAACAAGCTTCTCATTTACTTTTCCTTTTCTTTTATGATTTTAATCGATTTCTAGCAAACTTTGCATTGCATTTCTCCTTTTTCCAGCACATAGATCAGAACCACCAGGACATTTTTTTACAATTAAGTAACAACAATATTGAAAGCACCCATATAATTTTTATATATTTCCAACTTCCCAATTGTAAAATTTCCTCATACGTGTTTATAGTTGGTTCATGCAGATTATGTAACTTTGATCCATCAAAAGGTTTCTCATTAGCTGCAGATTATATAACTTCGATTAATGTGTACAATAGTCGTATAGAGTCAAGTATAGAAGCATGATGATCTGAACTTCGCCCCTTTGACATAAACTCAAACACGTTTTAGGCATTCTACCTTATTCATCAAAAGTTAATTATTGCCACAAGTAATTCCCATTAAATTTCACTCTTATACAATCAACGGGAATCATGAAATAGTAGATTATCATCATTCAAATTTAAAATAACAAGAGAAAATTTGACATAATGTACCAAAAAGTTACAAACTTTTAGCAGATCAACCTCTTACATAACAAGTTTCCCCAAAAACTTAATAAAAATTAACATCACATTAGCAGAAAAATTTGGAATGGCCAGAGATCAACAAAGGTTTGATCGAAATGCTTACACAATATAAACCTTGGCCGCCATTAATGTAGATCGATTGCTCGACTCCTAAAGAAATCGCACGAATTTTAAAGCAAAGGGTTTTTCTTTCCAAGAGAGCGAATGAAATGGTGCGGAAAAAGGAGTCGGGTATCGGGGTATTTATACTGCGAGCTAGCTCGTCTGACGTCAGAGAAAAGTTAAGCAGCCCCTGCTCAAAGCTTAATTTATATATTTGTTTACTTGATTAAGTTGTTTTTAAATTAATTTTGATTAGTGATTGACCGGTTCGTTTCAGAGAGAGAGTTTAAGCCGCCCCTGCTTAAAGTTAAAATAATTAATTTATTTATTTGATTAAATCGTTTAAATTAATTTTGATTAGAGGGTGTTTGTTTCAAATCCTATAATTTTAGAATATGGATTTTACTATGGGATTTAAAATCCATTGGTTTTTTAATATGGGTTGAGATTTCTAAAATGTTGTTTGTTTCATCAATATTTTGGAATATGTAATCCTATAATTTGTATTTTGTTTATTTCAAACTCAAATTGTAGCATTACAAATTTTAGAATTTGAAATTTAGGCTAAATCCTCTCTCAAAGAGGGGATTTCGCAAATGCTATAATATATAAGTTTTTTATTATTTGGGTATTCAATACCCCAAAATTTATTTTGATCAAACAAATGTTATAGAATCCATAAACTCAAAAAAAAAAAAACCACTTTTTCATCCTAGAATTTATAATCCACCCTATATCAAAAAAAAAAAAAAATTTAAAACAATCACCCCCTTAGTGAATGACCGGTTCGTTTCAGTTTCCTTGTGGATGTTGAGGGCACTGCCATTATAGCCATCACATGCATGATCCGATGATAGCCTCATTTGTATTTTTGGCATACAAGTCCTTAATATTTACAGAATTATTAAATCAAATCTCTTAGATAGTTATATTTTCTTTAAAGATTTCGTAATGTTGCTTGATATTCATATTTTAATGTTGTTTAATAGTTAAATACACTGGTTATGGAGGATTTATGTAGTAGTTCATGCATGGCTCTAGGTCTTGAGGAGCACAACTATGTCCTTGTGCACCTTAGAAAAATAATCGAATGGTTTAGGAAACTCTACATTATGAAACATATGATCTTGTTATCATGATAAGATTATACATCATTATTCTCTCGATGTCCAATATTTTTTTATTAGAGATATTCTCTTAGAAAGTCATTTTAAGTTCTACTAAATCATACACTTAATCTAAAGAAAAATATTGATGAATATATATGGTCTATCCTGCTTTGTGAAATTCATCGTAATTAGCTATCATATTTGATAATTTTTTATCTTAAAACTTTAGATTAAAGTTTTACCTAGAGTTATTACCAGTTTAAACGTGAGAAATAAAAAGGGAAACTCAGCTTGTACGTTGTAACCACATGCATGAGGCTATATTAAGAAGTCAACTAGTTTTGAACGAAAAAGAAGAAAAGAAAAGGAGAAAAAAAATGTTAAAACGAACACATTGAACACTGTTATATTATTTGCAAAGAAGAAGGACCTAATGAGAAGAAAACACTAAAATATTGATTTCCATAGTCAATGAAGAGAATACGATCTCAGTCGTTGATTTCATATTAGATTGGAGCTACCGATTTGCGCTGGGAATGTTGACCGCGCAAAGTCCAATGTTCTTGGTGCAAGTACTGCTAACGCCACGATGAGATCTGCCGATTCACCCGCCCCGCCAAGTGGTCTATTCTTTCATCCTCCGGTCCAATATTATTGATCAAAATAACCTTGATTTAACTACTAAATTACATTTTTGGCACGAACCCACGTAAGGGCCAGCAAAGCATGACGATCGGGAGCTCTTCCTTTCGTTTCATATCGGGTTATCGGGCCGCCGGAAGGGTAGCCAATAATCTAGTCGTTACCCATAATTGGGACCTGCCAAGTCTAGGGTTTTGGTTAAGTTCGAATTCTAGAAAAATGCTCATTTTTGAAAGAGAGAAAGGAGAGAGAAAGCGAGATGACATGTTGATGAAAACGATTGATTGATTTCAAAACGATTGATCTAGAGATGATGGAGTAAGTATCCTATTATAAAACCGCTAGCATAGGAGCGAGCAGTTCTGAGCCCTTCCCCATTAAAAATAGGGGGACAGTTTGGTAATTGCACCCCTTGTTTGTGGCTCAGAACCGCCCATCCATGTGAGTGGTTCTGACATGAAGCCTAGTCGAGATTATGATGTGCGAAATAAAAAATATTGAAGAAAGTAAGTTTAATAGTAGATAAGATGGATATTATTTCCAAAACAACGACAACAAAGATAATAATGGCCACTTGTTAATTGATGACAAGTGTTTTACTCTGTCCCGGGATATTATTTCTGATACATTTGCAGAGCAAGCTCGTACATATTGAGTACATACCATGCATATGCCATAGTTTTTTTTCATGCGACATCGGGTGTGCAAAATCCAGTTTGCACATTAAAATAGTTAGATCTGATAAATTAAGCAGACGGATCTATACTAAATTACTAATAGATATATAGGTTATCATTTGATCAATTGATTCCAAATATCAAATGAGTTTGAGTTAAAAACTCTGCCTTGATCAAAATTCAACTTAGATTTATGGGAAAATATGATAAAGTGGCTACGTGAATGTTGATGTTCGTGAACAAACAGTCGATGGGGGTTGTCCGCCGTAGGATGCAGCTTCGATCCTGACGATGCTGAGGAGATGTGGTATCGGGAACCACTTTTTCGAAGGAAACGAGGCGTCGTGGGTAGAGTAAAAGGCGTCATATTCTCCAATTGATTAGTGTGAGTTACAAGTGGCGGTTGGCTTTCCTGAGCAATTTGTTTCTGATTTTCAAAAGGGATCTTTCTTAATTGCTCCACGATGGTGCCTCTTGAATTCTTCTACATGCGCCTTTGGAGGCTTATAAATAGTTCCTGGCGCTGTTGAAAGAGCACTCTTCACCAAGAATGTTTTTCTTCGTCGATCCTCCCTTTAACTCCTTAAGAGTTTTTAGTATGGCTTTTCCTCAGAATGATCGCGAGAGGAAACTCATAGTTTTGTTTCTATCCAGATCGAGGATGACTTTGGACGAGGCAAGCTAGTTGCATGATTAATATGACATTTCCCGCGTGATGATGACTATAGGGGCGCCGAACAGTTCAATTCCGGTGCATATGCATGGCGAGGATCGGGTTCCTCTTTACTTGGCGCATTTGCAGTGTGGATTGCGCCTGCCGCTGCATCCCTTCGTCAGGGAAGTTTTCGTGGCTCTGGGGGTTTCCCCCTGCCAATTTCACCCACACGCCATTCACATTTTGATGGCGTTTATTAACGCCTGCTCCGAGGTGGAAGTAGTGCCCAGCATCAGCCTGCTCGGGCACGTGGTTAGTGTGGGGTCCGTTAAGGGAGATCCCAACTATTTCTTCCATTGTCGAGGCGATTTTCGTCTGGACACCGATCTTCCGGAGCTGGATGAAGAATGAAAGAGGTTTTTTGTCTGGGTATTCGATGCCGACAATATTTTGTCCTGCTCAAGTTAGCCTGAGATGCAGGAAAACGTGCTGGAGCCGAGGGCTCTTAGTGATCTCGAGGCTGGAGATCTTGAGAAGCTCCGGTGTCGCCTCGATCTTCAGGAGGCCAAAGCTCTGGATGGAGAAGAGTTTCCTGAGATGCGGTGGTCCTCTTCGTCCTCTTCTGATTCCGAAGCGATGGCCCTTCCTCCACCAATGGAGGTCTGTAAAAGAGGGGATGACTCGGAGGGACCGAGTTCTTCCAGGAGGCCTTTGAAGAAAATAAGGAAGGACTCCGGGGACAGTGGCGCTGAGCCTTAGAAATTTTTTTTATAAGCCTTGTTAGTCCTTTTGGTAAAGAATGTACAAAACTTCTTTCTGAATGAGAAGCGATTTCTTCTGTCTTCTGCTTTTGAGAACTGCAAATGCTTGATAGAATAACTGATTCATGTAGTGGCTCCATTTTTCTTTTTGGGAAGAGTGTTGATTCTTGTAGATTTGATACCCTATGCGAGATAAGTGGCGACGTCTTTGTTTTTCCTGTTTGGTCGGAAAATAACTCAAAGAGTCACCTCTGGTGTTTTGTCTTTGGTTCGTCTAGGTGGGGGACCGTAGACTTGATTGCTGACTTGTGGAGTCTTTGTACTTTAGGTTACTCCTGATGGGGAGCCAAGTGCTTCGGAACTGACTAAGAAGTCATTGTGCCTTAGTTAATTCCTGGATGGAGAGCCAAGGACTTCATTCTGACTGAGGAATCATTTTACCTTGGACTTATTCTTTAGGAAGAGCTAAGGGCTTTATTCCGACTGAGAAGTCGTTTTGCCTTGGACTTATTCTTTAGGAAGAGCCAAGGGCTTTATTCCGACTGAGAAGTCATTGTGCCTAGGTGACTAGGTCTTGATACCGACTGAGAAGTTGTTTTGTCTTGGTTTTACCCAGATTAGGTACCAAGGGCTTTAAGCTGACTGAGAAGTCATTTTGTCTCGGGCTTATCCAGATTAGGAGCCGAGGTCTTTGAGCCGACTAAGAAGTCGTTTTGCCTCGGGCTTATCCAGATTAGGAGCCAAGGTCTTTGAGCCGACTGAGAAGTCGTTTTGCCTCGAGCTTATCTAGATTAGGAGCTGAGGTCTTTGAGCCGACTGAGAAGTCGTTTTGCCTTAGTTTTATCCAAATTAGGTACTAAGGGCTTTGAGCCAACTAAGAAGTCATTTTTCCTCGAGCTTATCCAGATTAGGAGCCGAGGTCTTTGAGCCAACTGAGAAGTCATTTTGCCTCGGGCTTATCCAGATTAGGAGCCGAGGTCTTTGCCGCTATGGTCGATGAGAGCAGACGGAATCGAACCATAGGTTGTGTCTTGGGCTTACCTTTCAGAAGAGTCAAGGGCTTTGTTCCGACTGAGGAGTCGTTATGCCTTGGTTTTACCCTGAGAATGTACCAAGGTCTTGACCACTATGGACGATGAGAGCAGAAGGAATCGAACCATATGTTGTGTCTTGGGCTTACCTTTAAGAAGAGCCAAGGGTTTTGTTCCGACTGAGAAGTCGTTACGCCTTGGTTTTATCCTAAGAAGGTACCAAGGTCTTGGTACCGACTAAAGAGTCGTTGCGCCTCAGGCTTACC